CCGGGCCCCACGCGAAGACAACGACGTATGACCGTAGGACGAGGAGGATGGCGTCTCGTTGGTCCTGGGGGAGTTGCCTTCCGACCCTGAGAACCCGCTCCGGCCGGGAGGTATCCAGAGGGATTTCCTCGACCTCCTCGGCCGGCTCCGCATGTGGCCTCTCCTCATCCATGGCGACGGCGACCGTGATGGTGTCTATCCTCTGGCCCTCCCTTTCGGACGGCCTCGTTAGCTTGAGGTAGCAAGCTCTGGCTATCCTCTGATTTCCTCTGGCGTAGCCGATGCCGTCATTGGTGGGGAATTTCAAACATAGGTGCTTCATGGAGATGATGGCCTCCAAGTCCTCCAGCGCTGGCCGCCCCAAGATCAGGTTGTGGGCGCACTGGAGGTTGACCAACATGAACTCCATGTCAATTTTGGCGTGGTGGGGGCCGTCACCGACCTCCACGGGGAGGATTATCGTGCCCTCGGCGTCGATAGAGTCCCCGGTGAAGCCGGATAACGGGGTCTTGATCGGCCTCAGCAAAGCTCTGTCCAGCTTCAGCTGCTTGAAGGTGTCAAGGTACATCACGTTGACGGAGCTCCCCGTATCGATGTAAGTACGGTGGATGATGGAGTCACCGATCTCACATCGGATGACGAGGGCGTCCCTGTGTGATTCCGTACCCGGAGGCAGATCCTTGTTGGTGAAGGTGATCGCCTCCGTTCGCTGCTTCTTCGGCTGGGGGGGAACGTGGGACACCTCCCCAATGTAAAGGGATTGGGCCCATTTCTTTCTCTGAGTGGCGGAGTCCCCCCCAGTGTTCCCACCTACGATGAGGTGGATGTGATTCTTCTTCGGCGGAGGCTCTTCGAAGTCCTCGTCGTCGCTGAGTCTACCAATCTCCCGCTTCTTCGCGGAGGGTTCGCCCCCATGTTTGCCGGTGTTTACCCAAGTGTTCTTGCGTGAGCCACCTTTGACAAACTGGGAGAGTTCCCCCTGGCGAATAAGGCGCTCGGTGGCCTTCTTCAATGTGATGCAATCGTCGGTGTTGTGCAACGAGTTCTTGTGGAACCGGCAGTATGTACCGCCCTGCTGGATGGCTAGGATCTCCTCGGCCGGCCGAGGAGCCTGCTCGATGAGGCCGTGCTTCTCGGCATAATCGAGGATGGTGCCGACCGGGTGGGTGAGGGTTACCCCCGGCCGTTCCAGCCTCGGCCGCCAGTGGCGGTCTTTCTTGCTCTGTCCACCAGAGCCGTGGCGGCCCTGGGCACCCTGGCCGGCCGGGGACGGACCCGGGGCCGGCGAAGGATTTGTCTTCTTGGGGGGATGGCCCCCCTCTCTCTTGTGATTGTGGAGCTCGTCGGCGTCGGCATACAAACCTCCGCGTTGGAGCGCCTTGGCGTACGACCTCGGGGGGTCGGTGATGAGGCTCCTAGCGTACGGGGAGCTGCGGAGGGCTCCCTGGTACAAGGCGAGGAGGGTGCGTTCATCGTCCCCCTCGACCTCCTCGGTCTCCCTCGTCCACCGATCGATGAATGACCGGAGGGACTCCTCGTGCTGCTGCTTGACGGAGAGGAGGTGGGTGAAATACTTCTTGGTGCGCTTCCTCCCGGCGAAGTGAGTGAGGAAGCGCTGGGCGAGATCCTGCCATGAGTCGATGCTTCCTTCCGGCAGTCCGTTGAACCACTCGTACGCTGGCCCCTCGAGAGTAGAGAGGAACCAACGGCAGAGGTATTCGTCGGACGCGTTCACCATCAGCATGTTGTTTTGATAACGGCTGAAGTGCTCCTGGGGGTCTGATCGGCCATCGTAGGACTTGATGGCGTTCCCCCTGTACTTCTCAGGGATGGGGGCCGAGAGGACCCTGTTGGTGAAAGGGGTCCTAGTCCTGACCTGGATGATGGGGTCACCCCGCCCTTCAGCCAGCTCCCTCTCCAGGGCGCTGACTTTGTTCATGAGTGCGTTGAGGCCGGGGTCGTTGGAGGCGCCGGCCGTAGGGATGTTGGCCGACTGCTTGGCCTCCATCTGAGCCAACCTCCTTTCCAGCTGGGCGATGACCTCGTCCCGGGGGTCCATGTCGGCCGCGGCGGCACCCGGTTGGTTCCTCAGGCGCTCGTTGTGAGCCGCGTTGATCTGGTGACGCACGTCATCCTCGTGCAACTTTCCCTTGCCCTTGTCCGGGTGGGGCTGGTCCGCTGTCCGGGACACAGACCCCAAGCTTTCCCTTGGCGAGCCAGGACGAGGGTCACCAATCCGTCCCGCCATCCTCTCCGAAACCGGACGACGGCGCGTGTCAGTCAGCCTATTGAAGGCAGAGGCTTTTCCACGCGCTGGGGTCTGCCCGGGCCGAAGAGGGGAAGCAGGGTGGGAGTGGGACGACGCCGTATCCTGGGCCACAACCCCCTCATTGTTGCCTATCTGGACGGCCAACGGTTGGGGATGAGGAGGTGGAGTGACGTTTCCCCCGGTCCTTGGCAAGAGTGCGCTGAGGATGGTGGGGTTCTGAGCCAAGCTGGCGATGATAGCCGATAGTGCGGCCTGGACCTGAGGATCTACGGACGGAGAGGCCGCGGCCATAGGCTGGGCCGGGGCGTGGTCCGTCTTTTCAGCTCGCTTCTTGTCCAAGCCGAGGCGAGCATCAGGGGCGCCGCCGTTGAGTTGGTTGCGGAGGTCCGTTGTGAGGTTGAAGGCCTCCTGGAAGAGATCCCCTCCGCCGGCCTGGTCGGCCGTGGCGTCCTCATCGTGTTCCCTGGGCTCTTGGTCCTCAGGGATGGCTTTGCTGACGAGGTTGCGGTTTGACTTAGTTCTCCTCATGATCAGTGGTTAGCTGTGCTTGGTAGCGACGAAGGGTGCTAACTTGATTGTTCTAGCTTTCAACGAGAGCACCAAATGATGGAGTATTAACTCCTAGATTCTAGAGAGAAGTGAGAGCTAGAGAGAGAAGTGCAATAATATGCTTCAATAGAATGATTTTGTAACCCCTATAACTACTCCCAAGGGGAGTATTTATAGAGAAAATTAGGGTTGGGCTCCCAAGTCTTGGGCTTGGGAGGCCCATTTACAACTGGACCGCTACTGGGCCGAATACAAAGCCACTAATGGGCTGTATGAATGAATAAGTATAAAATCCGATTCTGTGAGGTCTTCGTGGCCGACAAGGGCACGGCCGACGAGGGCACGGCCGACGAGGGCGCGGCCGACGAGGGCACCCGGGTTCCTTGGACTCACGACCATAATCCGAGTTGGCTCCTTTTCGGCCGACGGGGGCGTCTTGGCCGACGAGGGCGCCACTCTGTTGTCTTGTGCTCTGTTCTTCCGAGTATGTGGGTCCTGGGGCTCAGACCCATATACTCAATCACCAGGTTACGATTTGGTAGAGATTAGGTTGGGGATTGAGTACCCTTGGACGGTAAATGATCCAGAATACTCGGGTGGGGCTGAGTACCCTTGGGCGGTAAATGATCCAGAATACTCCAGGTGGGGTCGAGTACCCTTGGGCGGTAAATGATCCTGAATATTCCAGGTGGAGTTGAGTGCCCTTGGACGGTAAATGATCCTAAATACTCGAGGTTGGGTTGAGTGCCTTGGACGGTAAATGTTCCTAAAACACTCAGTAGTATGAATCGAAGGCAGATTATAGCTTGTGAGCTAGGCATCCGGAAAGGAGTGAGGAAAGTCAGGTAAGAACTTTATCTCTAAAAGACTCTTTAAGGTAAATGACCTACGGGTTAAGTATTTTACATGTATATATACAGTATGTATCATCGGGTGAATCAGTTACAATTATATATATATATATATATACATATATATAGGTTTTGGTTCAAATAAGAACACGATCTTATGAGAAAAATGAGAATGAATCTGGACCGTTAGATTTGCTTTATGTGAAATTCAATGTGCATTAGATGAAGCTGTAATGTGTATTAGGTGAAATTGAAATGTGTAGCACAAATGGTACAGTGTAGTGGCATTATGTGAAGCTAAATTGTGCATTAGGCGAATTTGAAATGTGCACTAGATTAAACTAAAATGTGCAGAATAAAAGGTACGATGTGATGTTATTTTTGTACCTTTTATTCTGCACATTCAGTTTCACCTAATGCACATGTGAGTTTAAATTTTAATTCTGCACATTTCAATATCATCTAATGCACATTTTGGTTTCACCAAATGCACAATTCAGTTCCACATAATTCAATCCAACGGTCCAGATTCATTCTCATTTCTCTCCTAAGATCCGTTCTTACCGGAACCGCTCCCTATATATATGTGTGTGTGTGTGTGTGTGTGTGTGTGTATCACCCTATTTTTGGGTCTCGTGTCTGAAACATTAGTACTTCTATGGAGTACTGACCCCTCCGGGGCCCCTCACATTTTCCAGGTTAAGGCTAAAGTCTTACTACCTGCACCTTTGCCTAGGGTGATTGATCAAGGAGGAAGACGTGGTTCGTGCTTCCATTCTTATTTGAAATTTATAAACTGCTCATGGATATTTGAACAATGTTTATTTCTTCTAAAACAGTTGGGAGCCTGCGTGCTCGTGTTTGCCACGTGTGGCTAATTATCAAATATATTATATTTTCCGCATTTGTTTGATTATGATATTGATGTTGATTGTATGTGTTTACTAATCGGTTTGGCAATAGAATCTATCGGACGCCTTGTATAATTCAATAGGGATGAACGGTTGTTGTTCTTATTGGGTTGTACGGCGGTTGTCTACGTGGCACGGATGCGATCCGGGGCGTGACAACTAATCTAAGAACCCGAACGGGTTATCACCGGAATAAAAAATTACGAAGTGCAGGGGCCTTGCTCGAGTCATATGCGATTCAGGGATCCTGAACGGGACAAAGTTAGTATGAAAAATTTCTAAGCCCAAAATGCTAATTTGGGGAGTTCAAACGGCTGAATGCTAATTTCCGTTCGAACAACAAAAATGGAAATAAATCATGCAGGGAATAAAGAAACACCAGATGGACAAAATAAATGTTTTAGTCTTCGGCACTACTGGCCGGAATATACATTAAGGAGTGAAAGAGAAAAAAAGGACAGGCAAATACACAAAAGAAATTATCGAAATAACTACTGGCCAGCATTCTGCTCTTCGACCTCATCATTGGCTTCTTCGTCAGCTTCATCATCAGTTGGGGGCTCAGGTTCCTTGCCTGCTGCCCGATCGGGCTGCCTCTGTAAATTGTGATGGTATTTGTCGAACTGGGCCAGGAGAACTCTGTCCTCATAGAATTCCTTGATCTCAATCGGCCGACTGACAAACCGCACCAGGATCGGCATCATGACCTCCATAACCCGCTGGAAGCCAGAGACATAGGTATCCTTGGCCAGAGCATCGACCCACTTCTTGCCGACCTCAGTTTAATCGGTCAGCTTCACCCCCTCCTCAAGACGAACCGGGCCTTTGGGGAGCTGCTCCAGGCGCTTCTCGAATAGGGCACCCGCTTGAGCTAGTCCGTGCTCCTCAGCAGCCTTCTTGAACTCCTCAGAGGATAGATATGTGGTCTGGGCTGCTGATAGAACTGCGGATAAGTCCACCCTGACTTCCCGGGGGCCGTCCGGGATCTGAGGATCGCATTCATGAGAACTGAGCGGCAACCTTGGCCTGAGAACTAGCAAGATCCACCCAGAGTTGGCCAAGCTCAGCTTCAAGTTTCTTCTGCTCTTGCTTCGTGGCCTGTAGCACATCAGCAGTTGCCTGCTCCGCCGATGTCCGAGCTCTAATCAGCTCCTCCTCCCTTTCCAGCCGAGCGAGTTGGAGCTGTACGCTATAGTAGCCGGCCTGCAAGACAAAGTGGTTATTTACCGAACAACATAGAAGATGAATAGGGAAACGAACGGTTGGAGTTTACCTTAAGAATTTCCAGGGCCACCTCTGTCTCGGCCTGCTCGACCGTCAGCCTTGGAAGGTGGTAGTCATTGACCATGGTGAAGGTACTCCAAACCCGGCCAGACTGGCATCCCCCTTGCTCTATAACCGCATGGATCGGGTCCTCCAAAATGATCGGTTCCACAGGTTTTGATATGTTGGACTGTTCAGCCACAACTTTGGCAGCACCGGACGAACCCGGGGATTCAGTGAAAAGAGGATTGGAGTGCAAGCCCCCAAACGGCTGGTCCCCGCCATGGCATCAAAGTTCACCTGCTCGAGAGGAATCTGGTGGAGTGGCTCGGGCTGCTGGACCACAGGCTGGGCTGCCGGTTGAGTTGCTTCAGAGGCAGAGGTCCTTGCCATCTTCTTGGAAGGTTTCTTCCTCTTGGCCGCACCCATCTCCTCAAGACAGTTCTTGTTCATGTTTCCTTCGGTGTTGGGAGCTGAAAGAAAGAAAGAGAAAATGTTAGTACCGAGCGGACTTACCGTGTGTGAAACAAAACATGATATGTAAGTTTCTCACACGGGAAGGACCGCTCGGGCCATAGCACTTGGTTTTCAGTCAAGAAGCTTAGGAATTTGGGCGGTACCTATCCCGGCTTCCACAAGCCGAACGGGGGTTAAATAACACATGATGTCCAGTGTCTTGGCCCTCTTGTAACACCCCGGCCCCGCAGGACCCGAGGGAGTTACTCCAGACCTCTAGTACTATCCCCACAAACCACCACGAGCCTTTACCGCACACTTTATCCTCACTCATGCGCGCCCTGAGAAACTTCCCAGGGGGTCACCCATCCCAAGACTACTCCCGTGCAAGCACGCTTAACTTTGGAGTTCTTGGTTGATGAGCTCCCTTAAAAGGAGATGCACCTCTGTTGGTATGAGTTGTCACGCCCCGGACCTAGCCGGACACGTCAACAACCCGCCGTACAGTACGAATAGTTGACCGCAGTCCAACTCATCCATACTATACAAGGCGTCATGAATATCATTCACACATAGTACATCCATAAACAAACATAATGTAAAACATGCATTTAAAACAGCGGAAGCATTTAATAAAAATGTCTTAGCCACACTTTGGCAAACATGGGCATACAAGCCCCCAAATAATTATTCAAAAATAATATCCGTGAGCATTGTTATAATTGTTTTGAAACAGGAAACAGAAGAAGTACGAACCACGTCTTCTCCTCTGAATATCCCGAGAAACGGGCACCGGTAGCAACCTTCAAGTCCTACCTGAAACTGTGAGGTGGCCTCCCCCGTGAAGGGGAGGTCAGTACTTGGAAATATTTGACAAGTACAATAGCAACTATACTAAGTAAAATCAACGTTTTAATTTCCAAGACCCTCAAAATAGGGTGATATCATAATATAAATAATAATTTATATTTCCCACTTATTATCTTCATAATAAGTAAATTTATTTATTTGTCGGCACACGGCCCTTCTTATATGTTCCTTTTCATTTATCATTTGCACAACCCAACCCTTGGGTCTTATTATTTCTACGGGACTTGCTACCGCTGTCGGAGACCTCATGAGGCTCCCGGTTCGGACTCCAACATCCCGCCCCTGGACTCATACCCATCATCCCGTAGGAAGGTAAGGCCCTTCGGGGTCCTATCTTATGTGTTACCGCTACCGGAACCTAGTTAGGTCTCCGATTCGGATTCCACCCTAACCCGTGATCACGATGTAAGTCCATGCTATCCAACCCCGCTCTCTAGAGTCGGGAAGGGCCATGGTCCTTACTATTTCCATAATTCAACCGGCTATCCACAAGGACTACCGAACACACCCGTAGGCCAATCCTATACTTAGGATCAATTTATTATTTACTTTATCTTGGGTATCCCTTAAGGCCTACCCCTAGTATAACTTAGAGTTCATACTTTCCTACCTTAAGGCATCTCTTAAGACTACTTAAGGCATAACATTTCACAATCCAACCTTAGGATCAATCTTAACAACATTTCATTTTGATGTCCAACTAGTATCTTAATACTAGTCAAATTAAAATCAACAAATCAAGTTCTCAACTCATAGTCATATAGACAATTCAACCTGATTTTTCCTTTGAAAAATATCATTTATCTCAATATTCAAAATATTACTTTTAATCACTCATATATTCTAATATGAAGAAAAAGTATATTTCAACATATGTTTCACAATAAATTCCACTTTCAAGTCATCATACTCATAGCACATGAACATACACCATTTACTCTTAAATTTGTATATCATGCTCCCCTTTTTCTTTAGACATTTAGTCTTTTCATTTTTTAGGCATTATTAATCATTAATAATCCATAAAAACACTTTTAATTACCTTCGGTAATCTCATGAAATTAACTCACTAATTATAAGCAATATAGTCAGTCATCCTCACCTTATGATGTGCTGAAATAGTTGCCTTTGTTGAGCTCCCCGATAAATCCTCGTTTTAAACCGATGAAAAGGCAAAAACTGGACTGCCTGGGCAAAAGCCGGGCGGCTTTCACGAAAGTCGGGCGGCTTTCGTAGTGTGCAGCTACGAACAGCTCCTTTGGAGTGACGGTTTCCGGCGGTTTCGACTCCTATCGATTTGCCAACCCTTCTAAGTTAATTACCACCACTTTATAACAATATTCTACACTTTTAAACGTGTAGAACTCAAGGTTTAATCCACCATATGATTTCTTACAAATCATACTCCATAAAACTAGTTAAAGAACAATAGTTATGTTCTTACCTTGAATCCTAGCTCCTTTCTTCTTGGATTTTCTCCCTTCTTGATTCCTCCACGTTTAAGCTTGGTGAAGAACCTTTTTCCCAGAGCTTCTCTCCCCTGAACTTGGGAGCTTCCTTTTGTGTGTAGACTTTGTCTCTAGGGAGCTTCCTTCCAGCTCTCCTCTTGCAAATCAGATCACAAAAAACGTGGGGTGGCTCCCACTCATGTGGGAGGTCATCCCAATATGTCCCGGTATGTATAATCGGCCCCGAAAGTTGTATTTTTCGGACTACTTTAGTCATATTTTATTTTATCGGGCCGGATAAAATATATCACGTGTTCCTAATAATTATGGGCCTTTAGAAACGATGTACATTCCCCAACATTAATTTAGGAGCCTCCGAAACTCTTTTCGGGCTGTTATCCGTTAAATTGCCAATACCGGCAATTGGGCCCCGTTTGACCAACCGGTCAACTCCATGCCTTTCTTATGGCCCAAATAAAATATCCACCACCATATAGACGTCATCTAACCCAAGATGAATATAATATGTGGTTCGGGAATTATCGGACGGTCCCCGTTCCCACTGTGGGCCCCATACGCAATTTACTATTCACGTAAAAGAAATAATAAAAATTTACAATTACGCAAATTCATAAATCATCTTTCAAGGTTTATTACATAATTCACTAAAAGTAAATATGCTCGGGGTCGGTGTTACATGAGTAGTACTATTAATCCTCTTAAATTAATCTCGGGTATTACAATCACCCCCACTTAGGAACGCAACGTCCTCGTTGCGCCCATAAACCAATCTCAATCATATCCCAGAATCTTTTCCCCTGCTAAGTGCCCGCCTGATATCCAACGAATCAGCACACTGTCGCAGGGTTGCTCTGATACCACCTGTAACACCCCGGCCCCGCAGGACCCGAGGGAGTTACTCCAGACCTCTAGTACTATCCCCACAAACCACCACGAGCCTTTACCGCGCACTTTGTCCTCACTCATGCGCGCCCTGAGAAACTTCCCAGGGGGTCACCCATCCCAAGACTACTCCCGTGCAAGCACGCTTAACTTTGGAGTTCTTGGTTGATGAGCTCCCTTAAAAGGAGATGCACCTCTGTTGGTATGAGTAGTACTATTAATCCTCTTAAATTAATCTCGGGTATTACAATCACCCCCACTTAGGAACGCAACGTCCTCGTTGCGTCCATAAACCAATCTCAATCATATCCCAGAATCTTTTCCCCAGCTAAGTGCCCACCTGATATCCAACGAATCAGCACACTGTCGCAGGGTTGCTCTGATACCACCTGTAACACCCCGGCCCCGCAGGACCCGAGGGAGTTACTCCAGACCTCTAGTACTATCCCCACAAACCACCACGAGCCTTTACCGCGCACTTTGTCCTCACTCATGCACGCCCTGAGAAACTTCTCAGGGGGTCACCCATCCCAAGACTACTCCCGTGCAAGCACGCTTAACTTTGGAGTTCTTGGTTGATGAGCTCCCTTAAAAGGAGATGCACCTCTGTTGGTATGAGTAGTACTATTAATCCTCTTAAATTAATCTCGGGTATTACACCTCTCCACTGAGATGACCTTCTTCTCTAGCTCCTCAGAGATGAATGGCTCGGTGGATTTAGGAGGGTAAGCGTTCCATCTCCTCGGGATAAGGCTGTCCGAAACAGAGACGAATAAAAATCGGTCTTTCCACCCCTTGATGGAAGTAAGGTTCCCCTTGAAAAGGATCTGTCTCGTTCGGGCACTCACATGCAGGAATCCATCAGTTTGTTGGAGGGAGACTTTGAAAAAATGATGGAAGAGGTCCAAATCAGGCACCACATCAACATCAACACAGCGGTAGATGAACCCGCCATGACCCGGTAAGAATTCGACATTATTTGGGTCGGGACAATGTCATAGTGGTTGAAGAAGGCCACAAAAGGGGTGCAACGGGAACCTAAGACCAGCCTTGACAAAATCAAAATGCACCACCACCATCCCAGGACGGTGGCGCAACGGATGCAGACCAGCGTGAAGACGAAAATCAATTGGGTCGGGGATTAGGGCAGGGATTTGGGCCCTAAGCTTGGACGAGAACTTTAGCCTCTTTCGAATGGACGTCAAATCCAAGTGGTGGTGAGGAGTGTCGTCAGGAGGGCCTTTCCTCATCACCGCCATGTCATCACTGGATATCGCGCTGTCAGAATCACCGCCCGAGGTTTCACTAGAAGAATCACCGGGGTGGGCATCTTTGGAACCACTATTAGAGGGGGCATCGTCGGCCACAGTCTCTGCGGCGGCGCTAGTGCCCGCGGTATCATCAACAATGGCATTCGCCTCATAACCCCAAAGAGGTTCGATGATCGAAGGACTAGAGCTCATCGACATTTGCACCGAACCGAAAAAACTAGAAAAGGGAAGAAGAAAATAAAGGATCAGTGGTTACCTGAGCGAACTTCAAAAATCAGGGATTTGGAAAAAGGCAGAGCTCTGGAATGAAGATGCAAAATTCGAAAATCAGGGACCAAGAGCCCAAATTCATACTTATAACATAAAGGCACTGATTCACGGACCAATCCCAGGAGGACACGTCACGAGGAGCGTCCCCAGAGACACGTGTCGCACGAAGGCGGAACGTCAGTAATCATGACGTTACCTTGGAAATACAAGCGACAGCTGCCAAAGAATTTTGAAAGGTCATGACAAGAACAGACGGGACATTAGCCAAGAATGTCGCACGAGGTTACACCGACCGACAGGAAGATTACTTTTCTACTTCCTCATGTCCCGAGCACGCTCGGAACTTCGAAAGTGGGGGACTTGTGATGGGATATTAGGGTCCGGCCCAGTATACTGGCCCAAATATCCCTGGGACCCAAGAGCAGGGGAAAAGCCCAAAGAGAAACAGGTGGCCCCGAACGG